GCAGGCAGAGGACTAGCCTAGTGAGCCACAGTGCCAGCCCTCAAGCATTTGATTATTTCCCTGTTGATCTCCTAGACTTGGCATTTTGGGTTCTCTACCATTTTTTTCTCACTTAAATGAGCTGAGACTATATTTGCAGAATCAACTTATGGGAAAGGAGGAAGATTTGTTGTAACCCTTGGAATAAAAGGGAGGTGAGGAGCTGCACTCAGGGAAACCTCCCTCCCTCTTGCAAGCGAGTGCTCCTGAGCCCAGAGAAGGTACCATATGCATACTGCACAGATGCCAGTTCTACCGTGGGCTTCCTTGGGTCTCCTCCCCTTCATAGAGGGACTTTCTTATTGGTTGTTGTTTCTCTTCCATTCAGGAATTCCAACAGTTTTCTACATTGGGAGTCCTCAGCTCTTAGGGCCCCATCTCCTCTGGCAACAATGATCTAATTCATACAGCTTAAAGGACAATGTTTCAGTTGACATTTTGGGTTGTGTGTCCCTTCTTTTATTCCACAGAACTGTTTTCTCTTTACTCATAGTCACACAGAGTGTATCCTGGGTAGTACACATTTCACACAAGGAGGAGAACTAAGTCTTCTTTCTCTACCCCTTGCCTCTTTCCTCATGTAAACACCATATGGTTTCATGTGCCACCTTCCAGTGTTTTCTTGCTTATATATATACAAAAACAGGAAGTTTTGAATATTTTCTTATTCTTTATAGTTTAGTCTGTTTTGTAGATATATTTTTGTGGTCAGTGTTAATTTTAACCAGAGAGAAAAGATATCTACAAATGGAAAGAAAGAAAGAAAGAAAGAAAGAAAGAAAGAAAGAAAGAAAGGAAGGAAGGAAGAAAGAAAGAAAGAGAAAGAAATACAGAAGACAATAGCAGCTTGAAAGGAACGCTATGACATTTCTGTATTAGAATGTGACGATGAAGAAATTGAGGAAATGCCAGAAATTGAATTAAAATAATGATTCATCTGATTACTCAGAAGGAATCAGAAGCAAATTCAGGAACTAAAGCAAACCAAACGTGAAATGAATGAAAAATTTTCACATGAAAATGAGATTTTAAAGCAAAATCAAAATGAAATACTAGAAATGAAGAATTCAACAAATGAAATAAAAGATGCAGAGGATAGTCCTTATAACAGAGTAGGAGAGTCAGAAGAAATAATATCTGAGCTAGAAGACAAATCGCTGGAAATTCTTTAATCAGACCAAAAACAGGAAGAAGAAATCAGAAAACTAAAAAACACTGTTGGAGATTAACAGGATATCATCAAATGACCCAACACAAAGGTCTTAATAGTTCTTGAAGGCATGGTAAGAGAGAATGGATTAGAAAGCCTTCTTAGTTAAATAATACCATAAAACTTTCCCAATTTGGAGAATGAAAGGGACATCCAAATACAGGAAGCACATAGAACTCCCAATAGACATGAGCAGAAAAGATCTTCGCCAAGACACATGGTAGTCAACTCTCTACAATAAAACACAAAGAAAAAGGTCCTGGGACACAGCAGTTGATGGCACAAATACTTGGTCATGGCCACCTACACTGGAGAAACAGATGGAATCCCTGGCTCCTAGCTTTGGATCAGCCCATTCCTGGCTGTTCCACCTATTTTGAAAATGAACCAGGGCATAGGGGAGCTCTGTCTTTTGTCTCCTTTCTCTCCTCTCTCTCTCCCTCTCCCTTCCTGCCTTCTCTTCTTCCTCTCTCTCTCCCCCTCAGGTAAATAAATAACAAACAACTTTAAAAATTAAAAAAGGCAAACCATGTTAGGGCTAAACAGACAAAGAAATTGTCAGGGAGAGTTGAAGGTACTTCCCCAATACCAGGTGAAGAAGGTTAAATACTCTTGTCAGTAAGGACTTGCTTTGCTGTACACAGCTCATACATGTGTACAGTATACTCATACATGCATAAAAGACAGACACTTTTTCCTTAAAAGCATATACAACAAGTTGCACTGATACCTTTACTTAAAAAAACTCAGAAATCCCAATTAATTCTTCCAATATGATGGGTTGTTGTATTTTAATTCTGGGGTACCTGCATCTATTTTTGAGCCCACTTTCTAAATAACCATTCTCTAATTAAACAAGCATGCTTCCCCACCTCTCTTCCTTTATCTTGACATTTGCCCTTAGCATGAATGCCTTCTCTATCTCTCCTGTCCTCATCCAAGTTCCGGCCACATATCCTATCCAAGAAGAACCTGCCCAATCTGGTGCACCTCTTCAGGGCAACAGTGGTCTTCATCACATAAGCATCGCAGGGTGCCAGCAAATCTGTAAACCTTAGGATATCAGTGATTTCCCAATGTTTGTTAAGGTTGGGTCTTTCATGTTCACTTTTTTGTTTATTTATTTGAAATGCAGGGTTACAGAAAGGAAGAGGCAGGGAGAGAGAGGGGAGAGAGGGGAGAGAGGGGAGAGAGGGGAGAGAAGGGAGAGAGGGGAGAGAGGGGAGAGAGGGTAGAGGGGAGAGGGGAGAGGAGAGAGGAGAGAGGAGGAGGAGGAGAGGGGAGAGAGGAGGAGGAGGAGGAGAGAGAGAAAGTCTTCCAATCACTGGTTCACTTCTCAAATGGTTGCAAATGGTTGCAACAGCTGAGCTGGGCCAATCCAAAGCCAGGAGCCAGGAGCTTCTTCCAGGTCTTCCACACAGGTGCAGGGCCCCAAGGGCTTGGGCCATCTTCTACTGGTTTCCCAGGTGCATTAGCAGGGAACTGGATTCGAAGTGGAGCACCTGGGACTCAAAACGGTGCTGATATGGGATGCCGGCACTGTAGGCGGTAGTTTTACCTGCTACCAAAGAGTGCCGGCCCCTCATGTTCACTTTTTATCCTTTGAGCTTTTTGATATTTATTGTTGGTTTTGTGACAGTTCCAAAATATTTGTTATTTATGTAACCCAGTGAAAAATATTCCTTTTAAATTATGTTTTAAAATTGAAAATTTTGCTAAGATTTTGGACAACAAATCATAAGAAAAACTTAAACACATAGTGCTCCCACAAACACCATCTGTACGTTGATAGGTATTTTCCAACTTGTCTTTCATTTCCTTTTCTTTATATTGTTACAATTACCCACACTTCTATTGCCTCCTAGATGGCACTCAGCACAAACATTTGACTATTTTGTCACATCATTATCATAATTAAGAGCTGCATGAGCAGAGCCACTCCACCTTCTTATTTAGTTTGTGTGAAACACAAAATGTCCCAGATATGCAGAGTAGGGTTTTTGAGAGGTTGCTTTCATCATGCTCATCAAAGCACACATCCTGTCTGGTGAGGATGAACCTTCACAGTGGGAGTGGCACTTTTGTTGCATGAAGATGCTGTCCACCTGTTGAGATATTTGCTTTTGAGCTGTCCAGGTGCAGGTGATTCCTTAGTGAAATTCCTCTACTAAGAGATGGGGCTTTCTAAGGTGAACAAAATGTGTTCAGCTGGCAACAGACTTGTATATGGATATACCTCAAATAGGCACCCATATGTGTTTATCAGTTCTTTCTTAGGAAGAGAGATCAGCATTTCCAATGTAATGCTTCCTGGATTGTAAGTTATCTTGTAAACTGTCTTCATAGGTCTCTCTGGAGTAAAGAATTTTAAAAAGAAAGTACCAAGGAACTATAAGATTGGATGATGTATTGTGGAATATGAAGACTAACAGCAATGAATTCTGAATTATAAAAATCCAAAGATATTAATGTTCTCTAGGAGGACTGAACAGCTATGATTTCCTCCCTCACTTTTCAGGGACTTTTGAGGAAAAGGGGTGCAAGGTGCTTGTATTCAATAATCCCATCTAACTCTGTTCTTGGTATCCCAGAAGGAGTGAGTACAAGAAAGGGTTTTAAGGAAATGAGATTGAACAAGGACCTGCAATTCCTTAGTTGCAAAACTTGGAAATTTCACCCATAAATGAGTTATATAACCTTTTTCATCACCTATTTCAATGAAACTTGAGAGAAAAAGAAAGCTGGGTTTATCCTAGTGAAAGTAGTGGATAAAATTCCCCTACCCCCATGGGAACTCCCTAAGCAGAATGAGAGTATTTCATCCAACTTTTGTTCCATGGTTTGCAGGAACAAACAAATGGTTGCTGATAAATTTCAGAATTCTCAGTTGAATTAGGATTTCAAACAAATAACAATGTTTTGGCACAATTAATTCCCAAATATTGCAATGAAGAACACAATAAAAGGTATTCATTGTTTATCTGAAACTAAAATTTATCAGTGTGTTCTGTATTTTTAATTGATAAATCATGTGAGAATAAAAATAATTTCCTTATAGTTAAGTAAGGGGGCAGAAAACAAGCAGATAAGAACCGGTCATCGAGGGGTGCTGCTGTTGTGGCACAGCAGCTAAAGCTCCCATCTGAAAGGCTGGCACCAGTTCACATCCTGGTTGCTCTTTTTTTTTTTTTTTCCAAAACCTGGCATTCTTTTCTTTTCTTCTTCTTTTTTTTTTTTTGACAGGCAGAGTGAGCAGTGAGAGAGAGAGACAGAGAGAAAGGTCTTCCTTTTCCGTTGGTTCACCCCATAATGGTCGCTGCAGCCAGTGTGCTACGACCAGCGCACCGCGCTGATCTGAAGCCAAGAGCCAGGTGCTTCTCCTGGTCTCCCATGCGGGTGCAGGGCCCAAGCACTTGGGCCATCCTGCATTCCTTCCTGGGCCACAGCAGAGAACTGGACAGGAAGAGGAGAAACTGGGACAGAATCTGGCGCCCCAACCGGGACTAGAACCTGGTGTGCGGGTGCCCCAGGCAGAGGATTAGCCTATTGAGCTGCGGCGCTGGCCCTGGTTGCTCTTATTCTGGTCCAGTTCCCAGCTAATGGCCTGGGAAAAGCAGTGGAGAATTACTCAAGTGTTTGCAGACTTGCTACTCATATGGGAGACCCAGAAGACGATCCTGGCTCATGGCTTCTGCATGGCTCAGCACCAGGCATTACAGTCATTTGTGGTGCAAACCAGTGGAGGAAGGTCTCTCTCCACCCCGCCTCTGTGTGTGTGTGTGTGTGTGTGTGTGTGTGTGTGTGGTGTGTCTCCTTCTCTGTGTGTAACTCTGCATTCCAAAGAAATGAATAAATCTTCATAAAAAGATAGCTGTCTTTGCAGCACTCAGGATCTGAGAGTTACTCCTACTATCCTTCAGCCATAATATTGCAGTTCTTACCTGAGACTGAGCTTATTTTTGCAGGATGTCCAGATAGGAAACAAACCACATTTTCTGTCTTGGTTTTATCAGGTGACCCTTAAATTCCCTGTGTCCTGTGTCTGGATCTGTGTCTGCCATGAGAGGTGTAAAGGTGATGGGCTCCTGTGCTAAGAAAATGCAGCAGCAGGAAGTCCTCTGCAAAAGTACAGGTGATAAAGGCGAAATCCAGAGGGAAAATGATCCTCTTAGCCGAGAGGCCTGAAAAGTGCTCCTCTGCAGGTCATTTGCTCCAGAAAATGTTTTCTGAAACAAATGTGGCTTGTTTACCTTGTAGGACGCACACTTTCTTCAGGCTGAATGGGGACAACTTTTATTAGTACCTGCTGTGTGCCAAATCATTCTGACATCTTTTTTGATAGTCTACTACATAACCTCTGCATGGGGCCTATCTGGACACCCTGTCTGAGTTGGGTACCTGGGTACCCAACATAACCTCTGCCTACTCCCATCTTTGGGGCCTTATGTGTGCACATGAATATGAACTCCTTCTGTGTACCAGACACATAGCCATGCAAACACATGTGCTCTGTGAACATCTTTGTGTAACAGGTGCATATCTCTGTGTGCTTATTCAGGTATGGGAATGTTTGTATGCCAGACACACATTCATGTGATAACATCACATTCACAAAATGATGAACAAAAACAATAAGATTAGCTCAATAGATACAGAGAAAGCATTTGATAAAATACAATACTCTTTCATGATAAAAACTTTTATAAAACTGGATATTCAAGGAACATTCCTCAACACAAGGCAGTTTATGAGAAACTCATAGCCAACATCTTATTGAATGGGGAAAAGTTGTAAGCATTCCCACTAAGTCCAAAACCAGACAAGCATCACCATTCCTGTTCAATGTAGTCCTGTATGCATTAGCCAAGGCCATTAGACAAGAAAAAGAAATCAAAGGAACAAAAATTGGAAAAGAGAAAATAGAGCCGGCGCCGTGGCTCAATAGGCTAATCCTCCACCTTGCGGCGCCGGCACACCGGGTTCTAGTCCCGGTTGGGGCGCCGGATTCTGTCCCGGTTGCCCCTCTTCCAGGCCAGCTCTCTGCTATGGCCAGGGAGTGCAGTGGAGGATGGCCCAGGTGCTTGGGCCCTGCACCCCATGGGAGACCAGGAAAAGCACCTGGCTCCTGGCTCCTGCCAGGATCAGCGCGGTGCGCCGGCTGCAGCGGCGGCCATTGGAGGGTGAACCAACGGCAAAGGAAGACCTTTCTCTCTGTCTCTCTCTCTCACTGTCCACTCTGCCTGTCAAAAAAAAAAAAAAAAAAGGAAAAGAGAAAATAAAGTATTCCTATATGCAGATGACATGATCGTACATACCAGAGATCCAAAAGACTGCACTGAGAGACTATTGAAACTCATAAAAAGAGTTTCATAAAGTGGAAGGATATAAAACTAACACAGAAAAAGCAATAGCCTTTGTATACACAAACAATGCATTGGCTGAGAAGGAGTTTTTAAGATCAATTCCATTCACAATAGCTATAAGGAATTAAATATCTTGGAATAAGTTTATCCAAGGATGTCAAAGATCTCTACAGTGAAAATTGCAAATCACTAAACAAGGAAACAGGATATATAAAAGTTGAAAAATGTTCAATTTTCACAGATTGGAAGAATTAATATCATCAAAATGTTCATGCTACCGAAAGCAATTTACAGATTTGATGCAATCCCAATCAAAATACCAATGGCATTCTTCTCAGACCTAGAGAAAAAGATGATGAAACTCATATGGAAACACAAGAGATCCCAAGTAGCTAAATTAATATTATATAATAAAATCAAAGCTGGAAGCATTACAATATCAGATTTCAAGGCATATTACAGTGCAACTATAAGAAGAAAAACCTGGTACTGGCACAAAATCAGACGTGTAGAGCAATGGAGCAGAATAGAAACTCCAATTATCAATCCACACATTTACAACCAACTTATCCTTGACACAGGAGCTAAAATCAATCCCTAGAGCAGGGACAGTCTCTTCAAAAAATGGTGCTGGGAGAACTGGGTTTCTACATGCAGAGATATAAAACGACCTCCACCTTATACCTTACACAATAATCCACTCAAAATGTATCAAAAGCCTAAAGCTATGATCCAATGCCATCCAATTACTAAAGAACACTGGGGAAACTCTGTAACACATTGGCATAGGTAAAGTAGTTTTGAAAAAAAAAACACCATGGAAGCACAGGAAATCAAATACAAAATTGGCAAATGGGATTACATTCAGCTGAGAAGTTTCTGCACAGCAAAAGACACACTCACCAAAGTGAAGAGACAATTGACATGATGGGAGAAAATGCTCACAAACTATGCAGATGATAAATGGTTGATAAACAAAATCTATAAAGAGCTACAGAAATTTAACAACAACAAAACAAACATTCCAATTAAGAAATGGGTGAAGGACTTGAACTGGCATTTTTCAAGAGGTAATTCAAATGGCCATCAGATGCTGGAAAAAAGGCTCAAAGGGAGTGCACTGTGGCAAACAGGTAAAGCCACTGTCTACAGTGCTGGCATCCCCCATAGTGCCAGTTTGAGTCCTGGCTGCTCCACTTCCAATCCAGCTCTCTGCTATGGCCTGGGAAAGTTGTAGAAGATGACCCAAATGCTTGGGCCCCTACACCTGTGTGAGAAGTAGCTCCTGGCTTCTGGCTTCTGATTGGCCCAGCTCTGACTGTTGCAGCCATTTGGGGAGTGAACTAATGGATGGAAGCTCGCTCTCTCTCTCCCTCTCTCTCTCTTCCTCTCTCTATCTCTCTTTTTCTCTTCCTCTCTGTAACTCTGCCTTTCAAATAAATTGATACATTTTTTAAATAAGAAAAGAAAAAAGCAATTAGCAATTAGGGACATGCAAATAAAACCACAATGCAATTTCACTTCACTCCAGTTCAAATGACTCTCACACAGAAATCTATAAACAACAAATGCTGGTGAGGATGCAGTATTAAAAAATGTACCCTAACCCAGTGTTCATGGAGAGGTAAAGTGGTCCAGCCACTGTGGAAGGCAGTATGTATATACTTCAGAAATCTGAATATAAATCTACCATATAATGAGGCCATCCCTGTCCTGGGAATTTACCCAAAACAAAATTAATCAGCATAAGAAAGTGTTATCTGTACCTACATGTTATTTTTCACTCAAGTCATAATAGCTAAGACATGGAATCAACCCAGATGCCCATCAGCTGTTGATTGAATAAAGAAATTATGGTATAAAGTACAACTCATATGTAAAAAAATGAAATCCTGTCTTTAGCAATAAAGCAGATACAACTGGAAGTCATTATACTTCATGAAATAAGCCAGTGCCAAAAAGACAGATACAATGTGTTTTCTCTGACCTGTGGTAACTAATATAGTACCTGTAATGTAATCCACTAGAGTAAAATGGTTATTTTGAGATTTGCTGATTATTTATAGCCCTCGTCTCTTCTGTTCAGGAACAATGTGTTTTTTCTTTATGCTAATTGTTGAATTCTTTATTTAATGTAGGATTAAACTTATGAGTATAAAGTAAATTGAAAATGGATCCTGTAAAAATTAAAGAGTGGGAACAGCAGAGGTAGGAAGGAAAAGGGTTGGGATATTGGTGTGACAGAGGATAATGTGTGGTGGATCACTATCTTTCTAAACCTGTATATGAAATGCATGAAACCTTGGTAACATAAGTAAGATTTTTTTTAAATAAAAAAAATGTGCAGGCTTTGTGGTGAAGGTCCTTGTGGAGCAGCTGAACAACAAGAAACCATGGACTCCACCAAGGTCAGCAAGAGACTGATCACAGGCTCTGCATGGCAGAAGCTTTCAGAGACCTGCTGACCACAAAGGTCCCCAGGAACAATAGACACTGATGGCTGGGAAAGGTGGAAATAGTTCTGCTTCCCAGGAAAATGCCTCTAGGACTTCCAAACTGAAATCAAAGAGGGATGGTGATAGCTGTAATGGCAAAGAAAAAGGAAAGGGTTCAGGTAACTCACAAGGATCCAAGGACAAGCCATTAGGGAACTGGGGATGGTGAAGAGAGAGATCTTCCATCTGGTTCATTCCCCAAATGGCTGCAATGTTCCAGGGATGGGCCAGGCCAAAGCAATTAACCAGGAGCCCCTTTAGGCACACTAGTAGGGAGCTGGATTGTGAGTGAAAAGAAGCCACAGCTCAAACTCCCATATGAGATGGTGGCTTAACCAACTATGTCATAGCACTGGCCTCATGGAGCTACATTTTTAACTCCCTTTCCTCATAGCAAATGCTGGCAAGCCACAAGGGTTCCATGCTGGGCAAGCTAGTGAGCCTACAGAGAGGCTGTTCCAATGGTGAAGTGGGCCCAGATTCCTTCAACTAGCCATGCTTTTCCTAACAATGATGCTTTGAATAGATGTGTAAAGTGTGTGTTTACTTTTCAAAGTCAACATATCCAAAGTCTTCAGGACTTCCCATCAGAAACAGCAAAACCAGTCTGCAGCTCATCCTGTAATACTTGGGCTACGGATTATCCTGAGGCTTTCTCTTTTTTTTAGATTTACTAGTTTTGACTTATTTAAGAATTTGGAAAAAAGAATTAAAATAAAAAGTATCCAATGCACAATCTCACTGTACTTTAGAGCTCAAAAACACAGCACACTGTGAAGGCTCAGTGTTTGTCCTTGTAATCTTGTGGCTGATGGGGAGCTGGCCCTTGCTGTCATTGCCCAGTGCTATAAGAGAGTATCAGCATAGACTGCTATCCTAAGAAAAGAACAAAATTAAAAATTTTAAGTATGGCTTCTATTGAATATAAATCACTTTTTTCACCATCATAAAGTGGAAAATCCTTAAGCATCATAAGGTAAGAACTCTCTGCATTGCATTTTATCTTTTCTTAGATTTCTTAGTCCTCCAAATAAAATCAGTGGAACTATCATGCCATTCATCTTGAAAACATTCTCCCTATATTGTAAAGACTTTGCCTCATCTGTAGCCCTTATTTCACCAATGTTACTAATTTCCTATCGCTCTAAATAATCTTAACCACCTTATTAAATTTTTGTTTTAAGTTTTCCTTTCTATAATAATGTCAATAAATCCATCTTTTAACCCAAAAAATATCAAAATGTAGAAATCATATATAAGTACGCCATTCTCTAACATAGAATCACTCAGTAAGTTTTATGAAATATTTCTAATATATTGTTAGTGAAGTCAGGATCTCAATTTCTCTCATGTTACCTCACTGATTCAAGATATCATTACTCTCTCTTGCAGAACTTCTACTGTCTCCTTTCTGTGTCTTAGCATTTACTGTTTCTACCCTACTGTCCAGTCTCAAGAACAAGTGATCTCTTCAAAATATGTGTGACAAATAAAAACACCAGCTGAAAACCTTCCAATAACTTTTCATTTTTTAAAAAATTTTCATGTACTTATTTGAAAAATAAATTATATTTTTGATTTTTAAAAATTAAAATGTGAGCATCACATATACATATTATGAACAATGAGGATTTCAAAATGTTTGTGGAGAATGAAACTGATATGTAAGTTTATTTTGGTGCTAGAAAACTGGAAACTTATGTATAGAATGATTTTTCAAATATTCATGGAATGTGTATTTTTAAAAAACTCTACATTTATTTCAACATTTTGTATAGAACATATATATATTTGCAGGCACCGTAGCCATTTTGCAGACATGTAAACAGTAGCTGATATGTTGTGATTGTCTGCTCTTACAAGCTGTAAAGAATTTGTCTCTAATGTTTGAAGCATTGATTTACCAATCAGAACAGATGTGCTTCAGGCACAAGAATGGAAATACATGTACCTGTGATGGCTACAGTCACATAGGAATGGTGACACTGGAGGTGGCCAGGCTCTGCACATATAGGGGTTGGAAATTTATGAGGGAATAAATAGGCTGCCGAAAAATCTATGCTTAGAGGACATTTATAACCTTATATGAATGTTAGAATAAAAAAATAAAAATCATTGTAGCTTCCTAATCAAGAATTAAAAAGAAAAAGGAAATTGAAGGCATATAGAAGAAAGGCATTCAAAATGATAATAACAGATATAAATGATATGTTTTTGAGCACCACAAACCAGGATATATTTTTTAAATGTTAACAAAATTAACATACAAGTAAAAGTAATTATTAATACAAATGGAAAAGTAACACTAATATCAAATTTTAAGAATTAAAAATAATTCTTTATAGATAATTTATCCTTCTCAAGATGCTAGAAGAAATGTGTGATAGTCTTAGGAGTAAAATTTGAATAGAATCAAAATTCATTATATGTTGAAAACCAAATTCCCAACAACACAAATATAACATGAACTAGGAAAACTCCTACTTAGAACAAACAAATTTATTCGTAACTTGAAAACTAGCAACCAACCAATAAAAAAGTTATAGAAGAAAAATTTCAAATCTAGAATTACAAAATATTCCAAATATTAAGAAAGGAATAAACACACCTACATTTCCCACACATATTCATAATGGAAATAAGCAGAGAGTATTTTAAAATTTCTTTTGGAAAGCCAGCATAACATTGATGAGGATGCAAGTTGACCAGAACTTGAAATACACATGAAGTATTAGTTTAATAAAGGAAATCACGTGTGAAAACATAATTACTAACAAGTAAGATATAATAAAAATTTCAAGAGCTGTTAACTTTGGTAAACAAGCCATGTAAATTCTCCAGACAGTTGATAAATTTAAGAAAATTGCATGATCATTTAGATGAAATATTGAAAATTATTGTAATAATTCAACATCTAGTTAAAAAGAAAACCTGCTAGCAGTATAGTAAAGCAATGGTTTCCTTGCTAATCAAGATTCTTTAAAAGATCCTGTAACAAACAACACAATACAGGGTCACTGAAACCTTTTTTCCTGGAAGTAACCTAGAGCAGGCTGCCTCCACTATCTCCAACTTCTTTTCAGAAAAGTAGTCGGGTGGAAAAAAACAACAACAAAGATCAATTTCTAGGCAATATATGGTCAATATATTGGAGATATTAAAATAGATTGTCCATAAAATCTAAAAACAAATACAACTGCTGAATAAATTTATCAGATTGCTGGAAAGATTAATATATAAAATCCAATAGATCACCAAGAACCAGCAAGAAACAAAGAGAAAATAGGGAAGATCAACAGGCAGAGTAGAAAACGGATATTGACAGAAGAAAAGGGAAAAAAAGGATTAAATGTGATATCTTTAAGCATTTTAAATCATACTTAAAAAGTAACACAAACAACCAAACAGAAAAACGAGCAAAAATACGAGGGAAAAGAAAGGCCCATAAGCCAACAGACAAAATTCTAGCTCACCTGAAGCAGGCTACCGCAAGCTCCAGAAAGAATCCGCCGGGAGGACGGGGGACACGGGGCGACACAGCAGTGGCAGCAGGCAGGTGAGAGGCCCTCCCGCAGCAGGGAGGAGGGCCCAGGAGGAGCAGTTTCCCACCTGACCCAGGCCTCCACTCCTGCTGTTTCCATCCACACAACCCGAGCTTAGGGCGTCCCAGCTATGGAGGACGCTGATTGGCTGCGTCGTTTGTGACGTGTCATGCAAACTGTCCAATCAGGGAGGTGACATCCAGGCGTCTTGACGCCATAGTCGTCTGTCCTACAGTTCTGCGCGTGCGCCAGGTCCTAGGAGACGGCGCGGCTGCCGCGAGGCTCCCAAGCCAATCAGAATCCACCGCTTTCCACCTTCACTCACCATGTGGGGCTGGAGGGCAGCGACGCTGGACACCTAGGAAGCTGGCCACCACCACACGGTGAGTGTGTGGGCCCGGGTGTCCAGAGAGGGGAAAGCGGAGCCCCTGGAGCTGCTGAAAGGCCAGGAAGACGCGGGCCTCCCAGAGGTCATCTCTGGGATCTGCGGGCGCCATACTGCCGCAGGTACAGCACTTTCCTACCTCTGACCCTGGGTTGGGGGAGACTGGCGCCGGAGACCCCGACACCCTGGGCCTTCCCTGCTCGCAGCGACTTCGCATCCCTGGAGCCATCCCTGGGCAGCTGTGTAGCGGCAGCCCCGCGTCTCCCCAGGTGTGCAGTGGGGCCTGAGCTGTCACTAGGGAGACTGTGGGTTCTGTGTATGGGGTTCATGCAGGCCTGGAGCTGTCCTAATGCGGCCCTCGGTTCCTCCTTCCTTCCCTATGAGGACTTGATTCCCCCAGTTTTCTAAATATGTGTGCAGCAGGGTCTTGTCCAGGATGCTGACCTCTTTGCTTAGCTGTTCCTAGAGGGGTCTCACTCTGTTTTCTGTTTCCAGTAACCTAGTAACATAAATTAGGTAAGATAAAAAGAGAAGTGTTGTTTGACTGAGTTTTTATCCAGGTTTTAGAGAGGCAGGAGGGCCTGTAATTTGACACTTGGGTATCATCTTAGCACTTACAGGCTCCCTTGACAGACTGTCATCTGTATTAACTCTTCAAAATAGAAATTTTGGCTACTTAAATTTATGAGTGTTTTAAAAATTTTGTTCCAAGAAAGAGTTTCCAATCCTGAAGATTTGTCTAGTTTACTGTTATTTTGAATTTATGTTTTCATATAGGAGCCTATTTCTTTTTGCTTGTTTTAATTGTTTCAAGATTGTTGGAGTATAATTGACAGAATCTGTGTATATTCAAGATACGAAACCTGATGTTTTATATGTGAGGGGATTTTCAAAAGTTATGGAAAAGTCAAATTATCTTCTAATCCCATTTTTTCATAAACTTTTTGGAATCCTCATGTACATATACACGAATCATGATGAAATGATAGGACAAGGTAACATATCCATCACCTTACATTGTTACATTTTTAAAGAATACATATTAGCAAGTTGTGTGTATGTAATAGAGTATTCTTTTAAATACTGTGTTGAATATTTTGAATACTGTGTTTAAGACCTTGAATGAATTTATCTCATAACTGCAAATGTTTTCCCATTTCCTTTGCTCTGATCCCCTGACGACCACCATTCTTGTCTGTGATTGTGATTTTCTTAGATTCCACATACAATTGAGATTGTGTGGTTTTGTCTTTTAGGGCCTTATTCCCAATAGCCTAATAGGCTATTCCTATTTTTGGATCCATGTTTTGACTAAATGGCAGAATTTCCTTTTTAAGACTGCATATGATTCCTCTGTGTGTGTGTGTGTGTGTGTGTGTGTTTCTGTGTGTGTCACATTTTCTTCTTTCATCTGTTCACAATGTGGTTGTTTCCATATCTTGTATTTGTAGATAAGGAATGTGGAGATAAAGGTATCTCTTGGAGATACTGATTTCCTTTGGAAACAAATGCAGTAGTAGGTTTCTCATATGTTCTATAATTAATTTGTTTGAAGTCCTACACAGTGTTTTTTGTGTTGGATGTACCACCAAGTTTATTCCCACCAGTGATTTATGTATTCCCCTTAGTCCACATCTGGACTAATTTATCTTTTTACTTTTGCGTAATAGTCATTTTAACATATGTGAAGTGATAACCACTGTGGTAATTAGCATTGCAGTCTTAATTAACAGTGTTGAGCCCCTTTTCAGTTACCTGTTAGGGGCATGTGATGTTCAGTGGAAAAACTGATCAATCCTTTGTGCATTTTTACTGCAATCTGTGTTTTTGAGGTGTGTGTGTTCATCGTATTACTCCCTTAATCAGACTGAGGTTTTCCTCCATTCCTTGGTTTATCTTTTCAGTTTTACCTTTAGTATGCAGAATGCTTTTTTTGTTAGTTTTTGTAGTCTTTAACTGTGCTTTTAGTGTCACATCTAAACAATCATTTTTGAGATGTCAATGAATTGACTTTCATTTGTAAGAAGTTTTAAATTCTTGCATCTTCTATGTAAGCCTTCATTTTAAGTTGAAATTCTCGCCTGGTGTAATATAATGATATTATATTTCAATTTTGGGCATGTGGATGACAAATTTGCCCCTGTGTAGGATGTCATCACTAAATAGTGAGCAGCCATTTGGCAGCTGTGGTGTCACTTACTGGACCAGCACCCCAGAGCATGTGCCTTTCATTGCGCAGGGACCAGGTAGAAAGTGTCAGAGTCCAGTTTCTCCCTAATCTCACTCATCCCTCAAACTCATCCTGCTGCACTCTGCTGCTCTTCCCTGTCTGCGGTAAAAGACTTCAGAAGTCTCTCCAGGGAGAGACACACATGAAGTCATGTGCAATCATGGGGAGAAGTGCAGACTATGTAGTAAAGGGGGTGGGCCCAGAGGGCTCTGTCCCCTTTCTCCAAGAGCCGGGATATAGGAAAGCCCTTCAAAAATTCATGAAGACATCGACATTTGGCATTGTGTTACAACCCTGCATAGGATGCTCACATCCCATACCAGAGTGCTTAGTTCAGAGTCACTGCTCCCTTTTCCAGGTGCCTGCTAATATACACTTTTGAAGGGAATGATGGCTGAAGTATGTGGGTTCTGTCACCGACTTGAGGGACTCATATTATCTAGGAAGCACAGCTGATGAGGTCCTCAGGACAGAGGATGGAATAAGGTGTTTCTTTGCTGCAATGTGTGCTTGTGATCTGGAAACTAGCACACTCCAGCATGAACTTCCTTATGTCAAATGATGGTGCACAGTGAGAAAAGGCAGATACTGAGGCATTTAGGCATTTTTCAATTAGTCTATGCAGCTGCCATCCCAGTGGGGAATAGGTACAACTGTAATAGTCCCAATCTGGCCACATGGGAGCAGGAAGTTTATTTAAACTTTGAAAATTCATTTTATTCACATTAAAAATGCAGAGATCTGTCATCTACTGCTCTCTCTCCAAATGATCACAGCAGCTGGGATTGAGCAAGTTGAAGTGAAGAACCTAGAACTCAGTATGGGTGGCACAGACCCCAGCACTTGAGCACCATATGCTGCCTCATAGGGTGTACTTCAGTAGAAGGCTGGATTGGAAGTGGAGGGGGACTCAAACCCACACACTCTGATGTAGGATATGGGTCTCCAAATAGCCACCTTAGGTGTCATTCCCCAATGGTCATCCCTCTATTATTTTAAGAAGACTTCTATCATGGGCAAATCCAACTCTCCTGGCCCTGGTAACCATAGACCCTGAAGCTAAGCTGTGCAGACCCTTAACACCCTGGAAAATGCCCAAACACAACCATTCAATGGCATGTTCATGACAGTAATTTCTGCCCTGCTCAGCACTTAGAGCTATGTAGATAGAGGCCTGCCACCAGGCACTGGTCTCCCTGACATCTCTTCATCCATTTTCCACATGTACCCAATCTGGCCATCCACATCAAAGAGTGATCACTACTGGATGCTGTGCTGAAGGGAGATCCCAAGTTGGCCCTTTTCAGACAAGTCTCATGTGTTGCTCCAGACATTTCTTGGCACAGATGTGGCTCATCCCCACAGAGAGTCAATGGCAGGTGCCCTGGTACAGTTGTTCATGCATCCCATGGGTACCCCTGTGGGTGACAGTCACTCACTTACTGGGCTCATAGCCTAGATAATTGTGGCCTTGCTGAGCACTGAATCAGGCATCACTTCATCAGTGTAGTGAACCAGTCCCATTGGGTCACTGGCAAAGAGGAGGACAAGCCCTTAGAATACCGGCATGGTCAATATATTAAGTCAGGATTCTTTCTTTCCCCATAAATCCTGGTGTTGCTCCTCCTCACTTCTCGTTACCATTTCTGAACCTTAGCATGGACAATCTGGAACATCTCTTCTTTACAAAGCCTAAAGCTTTGTACTGTTGGGCTGTACCCACTAAGGGCCAGCACAGTTCCTCCAACCTCTCTAGAGCATCAACATTCAAGCAGGCCCTGGTAGGAATCACCTCAGTTAATCACCACGTATTGGAAGCACATGTTCTGCAGTTTGTCTCTTGACTCACCAGCCTTGCTCCTTGTCAAGGCTCAAGGAAAGGAGTGGAGGCATACTGGTGATTACCACAACCTTAGCAAGGTCATGTCTCCTTGACCAGACATTCTCACTGTCTTCTAAGATGTCCAGGAGCCTCTGAAAAGTTAGATAATTACTTTGTCATAAATAATCCTTGGAATAATAAATGGGTATATTTAAAGACCCTTTCCTATAACAATGTACAACCTTCCTCCTCGTACTATCAGAAGTAGATATTTATGACTCACTAATGCACTTTCTAAAGACTTCCTGCAACATAAATGTATCTATTTCTCTCTTAGTAGCCATGATTCTAGATGCTAATGCACTGTGCATCTAATAATAGTAAAGCCATTAGGAGCTAAAGATGGCTTCTACTTTCTCATCCATCATGTCATCATATTGATTTAAACTGTAGATATTAGAAGTTTAAGGTATTTCTTCTAGCCACATTTAAGACCTTTTTGTTCCAAGTAATATATAAAACATCTCAACTATCATCTCAGTAGTTGTAACCATGAAGTAAAACTGTATACTCCTGTCTCTTCTTAGAAGTCAATCTTATTTGTTTTCAAAAAGAATTACTTACTTGAAAGGAAGAGTTACAGGATTTAGGTGAGAGGTAGAGATAGATCTTCCATCCAGTGGTTCACTCCCCAAATATCTGCAATGGCTGGAGCTGGGCTGCTGTGAAGCCAGGAGCTGGGAGATTCTTTTGGGGACCCCATATGTCTGAAGATGCCCAAGTACTTGGGCCATCCTCTGTTACTTTCCCAATGACATTAGCAGCTGGTTTGGAAGTGGAGCAGCCCATATTGGCACCAATATGGGATGCAGTCACCACAGGTGGCAGCTCATTCCACTACATCACAGTTCCAGCAACTGGAAATCAATACTGACAGGCTGCTCCAAGGTCTGAGATTTTAAATATTTTTAGTCAATATTTATTTTGAAATATTTTGTTATACCATTTATCCACCAAAACACAATAGTATGTTAATGAATCAGAAAATAATAGTTAAAAATGAAGCAGAT